GCTAGTTCCAAGTCCTCTTCTGAATACAGCTTGAATTTCTGGCAGTTCCCTATTGATAAACCACTGCATCCATTTTAGAATGACCTTCAGCAAAATTTGAGTTTGTGTAACATTAATGATATTGTTCAATGATTTCCACATTCTGTTGGGTCACCTCTTTTTGGAACGACACAAATATGGATCTCTTCCAACTGGCTGGGTACACAGCTGTCTTCAAAATTACTTGGCACACATGGATGAGTGCCTTTGATTGCATCAGTTTGTTGAAACATTCCAATTTGTATTCTGTCAATTCCTGGGTCCCCGTTTTTCGCCAACACCTTCAGTACAACTTGGGTTTCTTCATCCTTCAAAACCATCGATTCTTAATCATACACTACACCTCATGAAACAGTTGTGTAGGTACCAATTCTTTATGGTACAGTGACTCTGTATTCCTTCCATCTTCTTTTGATGCTTTCTGTACCACTCAATATTTGGCCCACAGAATCTTTCAATATTACAAGTTGAGGCTTGAATCTTTTCTTCAGTTCTTTCGGCTTGAGGAATGCTGAGCATGTCTTCTTTTTTTTGTTTTTTAACTCCAGGTCTTTGCACATTTCATTAAAATACTTGACTTTGTCTTCTTGAGCATCCCTTTGAAATTTTCTGTTCAGCTCTTTTAGTACGTCCTTTTTTCCAGTTGCTTTAGCTACTCTATGTTCAAGAGCAAGTTTCAGTCTCTTCTGGTACTCATTTTGATCTTTTCTTTTTTCCTGTCTTTTTAATGATCTTCTGCTTTCTTCCTATATGATGCTCTTGATGTCATCCCATAACTCTTACGGTTTTCAGTCATTACTGTATAAAGTATAATACCAAATATGTTCTCAAGATGGTGTCTAAATTCAGGTGGGAAGATGACATTTTGATTCTCGTAGACTTGCTTTAATTTTCTTAACTTGAGTCTGAACTTGAATATCAACAATAGATGGTCTGTTCCACAATTGGCCCTTGGTCTTGTTTTGGCTGATGATACTGAATTTCTCCATCACCATTTACCACGGATTCCCATGTATTCCATCTGGTGATGGAATATAGTCACCATTTATTTTGTTTAAGAAAGGTATTTGCAATGAAGAAATCATTGGTCTTGTAAAATTCTACCATGGGGAATTCCAGCATTGTTTCTATCACCAAAGCTATATCTGCCCACAACAGGTCCATCTTTTTAATAAAATAAAAGCAAGATAATGTGCTGGACCATATGTCAATTTGACCCACAAGATCAGTGGTTCAAACCTATCAGCCACTCCTCGGAAACCCTATACTCAGGGTCACCATGAGTCGAACTGACTCGATGACACTTAACAACTTTTATATTCCAAACACCAGTAATTATCAATTCATCTTGATTGTGTATGTGATCAATTTCAGCCCTGCATTCATCGTAAAAAAGAACATTTCAAGATTTACCTTGAAGTACAACGCTGTCTTTGATAGGGAGAACTGGCAGAATTCTTCATCACTGGCTTTGGTGGTTGCTTTGTAAATCTGAATAATAGTGGTGTTGACTGGTCCTTCCTTGTAGGTGTATGGGTATTATCCTATCACAGACAGCACTGGGCTTCAAGATAGATCTTGAAATGTTCTTTGTGACCATGAATGCAAGACCAGTCTTCTTCAACTGGATGTTTCCTGCATATTAAACCATGAATGTCCAATTTCAAATGGTCAGCATCAGTCCATTATTTCAGCTCACTAGGCTACCAGTCTTTATGCGTTCCATTTCATTTTTGATGACTTCCAGTTTTTCTAGATTCATACTTGGTACATTCCACGTTCTGAATATTAACAGATGTTTGCAGATTTTTCTTTTCATTTTAATTTGTGCCACATCAGCTAATGAAAGTCTTGTAAAAGTTTTGTTCTTTCCATGTCATTAAGGTCAGCTCTATTTTGAGGCGGCAACCCTTCCCCAACAATATGTGAGTGCTTTCAAACCTGAGGGACTCGTCTTCAGCATTGTATTTGACAGTGTTCTCCTGTTATTCATAACGTTTTCAGTGGCTACCCATGCAGAAGTGGTCTTGACTCTCCTTCCTAGTTTGCCTTATTCTGAAAGTTCAGTTGAAACCAGTCTACCATGGGTGATCCTGTTGGCATTAAAATATAGGTGGCATAGCTTCTCACCATAGCAACACACAAGTCACCATAGTATGACAAAGTGACAGATGAGTGGTGGAAGCAGAATCATATACTCCAAAACCCACATCTTCAGTTGATTCTGACTCGACATGACCAATAGGACAGTGACAACTGTCTACCAAGGGTTCCCAAGGCTGCAAATATTTATGGAAGCCAATGGACACTTCTTCCTCCCAAGGAGAAGCTGGTGGGTTCAAACCATTAACCTTTCAGTCAGCAGCTGAGCGTTTGAACCACTTTGTTACAAGGGCTCCTTCACAACTATGTTGTTGTTAAGTGCTGTGGAGTGTGTTCTGACTCATAGCAACTCTACAGTATTAGGTTTCCTAGGCTATAAATCTTTAGGGGAACAGAAAGCCTCATCTTTTGCCCACAGAGCAGCTGGTGGGCTTGAACTGCTGACCTTGTGGTGAGCAGTCCAGTGCTTATCCACCAGAGCCACAGTGCTCCCCTCCATCAGTACTGGGATTATGATTTACAATACATATCTTTTGGGGCACATTCATTCCATAATATCACCTCGGTTAGTTAATACAAGTTCTTGTCCTCCTCATTATTCTGACAGCACGCTGCTGATTTCTTCTCTTCTCATTGTACAATAAAAATCTTTACTTAGCTACTTTCCAGCTTTGTCAGCTAACCATCTAGTTTGTGTGCTTTCTAGTTACTCAGGTAACTTGCTTGTTCTCTGCCTAACTAGTCAGACAGTTCGCTTGTCTGCTTTCTAACTTTCCTGATGCTTAGTTCCTGGACTTCTTTCTAGAGATCCTGCATGGTGCAGATGGTGAAGTATTTGGCTGCTAACTGTAAGACTTCAGGTTTGA